TTGCTTTTTGAATGGAGTTATTTTTTTATGAGTGTAGTAACTAATATTATTTAAAATTTTGAAATTTAACAATCATTTTTTTTAGATTTTTCCAAAATACAATACAATATTAAACTATGTATTATTATAATATACTCAATTACAAATATCTTTTGGGCAGGGCGACATTACATGCCCATGCCCGGGCCCACCCAAAGATACCTAATATTTCTTCGAGCCATCTGTTTTTATTTTTGGTAGGATTGGACTTTTAAGCGAGTTGGGACAGACAGACTAGTCCATCACAGATTTCGGTCACAATTATTTTTGTAACGAAATTCACATTTTTTGATTGCAAATTCATGGCAAGTCCATTGTTTTTTTTTTTGGCGATGGATTTTGGTTAGTTACAAATATTTTGAAAAAATCCATCACAAATTTCCTAGTTTTTAATAGTGAGTTGTTTATATTTGATTAAAAAAAACAGAGTTTTCTTGCTAAATCCATATATTTTCATTTTAGTGTCAATCTTGCTTGAAGCACTATCAGCCACTAACCGTGAATAGATCTCTTAACAAAAATTTAAACTTTGGTTTCGTCACGTTACCAGAAACTATTTTTTTTTACTAGATCTAATTCCTGTTAGGAGAAAAATTAATGAGCTCTTTCAATCCTCATTGCTCGAATACTTTCTTTACTTTCGAGTTGGGCTCTTGATTTAAGTTTGAACCCATTTCATTGTGAAAATTGTGGGCTTCGTGTTTGGGAATGACAGACTTCAAATAATGCCCCGCTTTTCCGAGCGCGCAAAGGGAATCATAGATCGCTCCGCAATTCGTTGGAGTTGCAAATGGTTTTCTTTTTTGATAAAAATTACAAATTTTGAAATAACTATATAGTATGTAGCGACGCATCCATCATAGTATAAAATAAAATGAATAAGAATCTAATTCAAATTATTTGTCGTTGTTTTATTTCTACGATAAAATGATAAAAGTAAAATACTCATTTTTCATGACAAAGTGTAATTCATGAATTTAATTGGCATGATGTTTGGTTACATATACCAGTTGTGCCCCATATGCAAATAGCCCTAAAATATATTATGTCAGAGAATCCATATAAGGTGTGGTTCAAAAAGTAAATCTCTTTTTTTTTTCTTAGTTGCCTTTTTGTTGATAAATGATAAAAGTAAAATACTCATTTTTCATGACAAAGTGTAATTCATGAATTTAATTGGCATGATGTTTGGTTACATATACCAGTTGTGCCCCATATGCAAATAGCCCTAAAATATATTATGTCAGAGAATCCATATAAGGTGTGGTTCAAAAAGTAAATCTCTTTTTTTTTCTTAGTTGCCTTTTTGTTGTATAACATGCTCTTTGTCAAGTTTTTCTTTAAAGTTCTTTTTTTCCTCCTGTAATGACATGCATGTAATTGTAGTTTTATTCTCAATATGGTCGTAAAGGAAAAGTAATTAATTTCATTTAAAAATTCATATTCTATAAAAAAATAACTTCATTAATTAGAAAATAAAGTTGGATTGAATTGAATTCTTATTATTTTTAATACAAAATAAATGTCAAATATAATTAATCTGATCAATTCACATATAATTTTCAAGATTATATATAATCACCGATTCTAATTTAGTGGTACTCATCATTGAGATAAGCATATGAAAATCAATCGAGGGAATAAAATTGGGACCATTTAAAATTTGATACGGATGGTCTAGAAAATTTTTAATTTGTAACTTTTCAATGATAATTTTTTTGAATTTGTAAATTTTTGAAATTTTAATCTGATATGGATTACGTAGGATGAGGAAAAAGCAATTATGCATATTTCTATTCCTATATGTACAAATATATTATAAAAGTAGAAGACCAAGCTAAGCTTATGTCTTTACATGTCAAGTGTCCATAAAAGCTCATTGCTGTGATTATAGAGAGCCATTTCAGATCAAGGTTTTCAAAAATATTGTTTATGTTGCATAACTGGAAAACTGCCTGCGTCAATCCATGCTTGATGAGCAACAGTTTCAGAGCAAGCAGCGTGGGACGTTTCTGTAGAGGAAGCAGCAGCAAATGTAGAGACGTCTCACAGGGACCCCTAGCCAGTACTAAGTTTCAATAAAGAAAGGCACAGTCGGTCTCATCGTATTCTCTATAATAAGTCATTGCCTTGGAGCAAAGCAATTATTGCAGACATTGATGGCCTTAATTCAGCAGGTGCTTGGGTGCAAAGCAGACCAATCTCTATAATTCTCTGCACTTCTTCGGCATTATAATCATAAGGATCCAAGGTATCATCCGCCAACTCTATGTGTATGCCTCTCTCATATAGCTTCCAAGCCTGTCAAGTGAATAAGAAGGACAAACAAGACAAAGCAAAACTTTGAATGGTTAAAACAGTCCTGCATTATCAAATTTTCTCCAATGAAATTGCCAATTCTAATTAATCATAGAATTTTCTTACTTTTTTGAGGGGGAATTCGCTTTCAAAATCACCATGAATCTTCAATTCCTTAATTCGTTCACTGCTAATAATTTCTAGGATTATAGTGCCATATTTATAAATATCAGTTTTTTCTAATAATTAACCATGAATTACATATTCTAGTACAGTATATCCTCTTAAAAATATATAATGTTTATGTTGTAGTTGATGCCTCAAATTAATGCAAGAACAATATTTTGAATATGAAATAGATATGTACAAGGTAATGTGTTGTACCATGTGTGCTACCAATTGAATTCTTAGAATATCACAAAAATCAAATATTTTGACTTACAATGTTCCAGCAAATTTTCTACTAAGATGAGATTGCTCCTCAGGTAAAAGTCTTGCTAAGCCAAATAATCAGCAATTTTTGGTTGAAATGTTGTTAGTCTTTATATTTCTATCTATAATACGAATATGAAGTTCTTCATGCAGGTAAGCTAGACCTCTTGCTATTCCTAAAATTATAGTGTACCCTTGCTTCCGATTAAGAGAACTTTTATTTTGACCTATTTCAAAAATTTACAAACCATTGAAAAAAAGAATAGCATTTATGCATAAAAAAAGGTTTTGATAATTCTTGAATGAAATTATGACACGTGAATGAATTATTGCTGGAGGAGCTAGGGATATATTTGTCCGTCGAAAATATATCCAAATGTCATCATTTTATATTAAAAAAAATTCAAGATAATTAATACGCAAGTCTTTGGAGTTCCATCTAATTTTTAATCACGTCCTTGTAGTTTTTTTTCCTCTTTTTAATCAAGTCTCTATAGTATTTTTAATCACATCCTCATAGTTCTACTTGATGTTTAATAAAGTCTTTTATAGTTTTAGGTGACTGATGAAAAGAAAAAAAAAAACTACATGGATATTATTAAAAACTAATGAAACTATAAGTACTAGATAAAATGGGAAGAAAAAACAACAGGAATTAAAAACAAGTACAACTATAAAGACCTGACAAAAAAAGAAAAAATTACAAGGACCTAATTAAAAATTAAGTGAAATTATAAAGACTTGCCAATTAATTACTCTGAAAAATTTGATACCTAAAGATTAAAGAACAGCATATCATCTTTGTTGACAAACAAAATATACCAAACACGAATTTGTCAAGACTGGTGCTTTTCATTTATTCAGAAATAAGAAATTTCTCATTGTTTTTACTGCAATATCCAAAAAACCAAATAAGATTCCAGTGATGAACAGTGATGAACATTGCTTATAAGCTTTACTTTCAAATTCTTCTTCCACCTTCTTAAATTGGCATAAAGTATTCCTATGGTCCTAAATATAAAACCCATTCGTAGTGTAATTTATACTACAAAATGGGTTTTATATTTAGGATCGGAGAAGTAATTAATTTCTTCACAGCACTTTTCTATTCTTCAACGAACCCTATGTTGAAGATTAAGAATGTCAATCATTGCTAGAAGTTTCTCTCATTGTACAACTCTATATGCAAGTATCCCTTTAGAGACATCCCTGCTTTAAAACATGACCTATAGATCAAAAGATTGAAAACCAAAATATATAGTTACCTTGTATACAACACCAAATCTTTCTTCTCTAAGTTTATTCTCTGCACTCACATTTTTAGTAGCAAACTTCAACTCCTTATAACTTAAATTAATTGGGCCTTCCAACTTACTTAATCCATTTATGTCATAGTTTATTTTGGTTATTATACATATTTAGGTTATTTTGTATACTAAGTTACTTAGAAATTTTTAGATGTTCCTTAAGGTGTATACGTCCCGGATCGCACACTCTATTGCATTAATTTGGTTTATTTTTAGAGTAATCCCAAGGTGACAAATTAAAGACTTCATTTCAATGACATTTGCCGTAGTAAAGAATACAGAAAGCCCCAAAACTGTTTCAAAACGACCTTTAGCTTACCCTTATATCTTACAAACCTCAAAAAACTTTTAACACACCTAAAGATCAGATTAAATTCAAGTTTGATCAACCCTAAATCCTTGATTAAAAACCAGAATGCCACAACTTTTACTCCTATAAAATATAGTTTGTAGTGAAGTTTCGACAAATAAAGTAAGGAAAATAATGAAATTAATAAGGATAAATGTGGGAGGAATATTAAATAAGGGAAATGAAAAATATTGCGGGCCTGGATTTTAGACCAAAACGTAGTTTGTCATTGATATCATACATGTGTCCATCGTACAAAATAAAATGAATATCCCCCGCCCCCCGGTGGGATCCAGTCAAACGAGTCGTCCTTGTTTTATTAATACGATAAAATGACAAAAGCAAACCATTTATTTTTTTCAATATATAATTATATATATACACGACAAAGTGTAATTAATTAAATTAATTGGAACTATATTTGCTTACATAGAGTATCACACATTATCCCTCCTTTGCAAATAGCCCGTAAAATATATTATGTCCTACTTGTGACCTATCATAACATGTCTTTAAAAATTAAAGAAACATGATTTTGGTGACTTTTAGCATTCTAATTCCCTACACAATTTTTCATATAAATTTATTAATTTGTAAATTTAAAAAATACATCTCTTTATTTTAGATACATTCCAACAATCTTTCTGGTACTATACAAGTGAGCACAATAACATTTGATGATGGGCAGGAAATAGTAAAGGTAAAAAGGTGTCTTCCATTGACCCCTAACTAGTTATAATTAAGACGGGCATAGAGGGTCTCATATGCGATAAGCCATTGTTTTGGAGCAAATCAATCACTTCAGACATTGTTGGCCTTAAATCAGCAAAAGCTTGGGTGCAAAGCAAACCAATCTCTATGACTTTCTTCACTTTTTCTGCTTCCGAGTCAGTAAGGTCCAAGGCCTGATCTACCAACTCTAAGTGCATGCCTCTCTCATATAGTTTCCAAACCTAACAAGTGGGATTAAGGTGAAATGGAATAAAACAAGTAGAAAAGACAAAGGAAAACTTCCGTTATTAATTTTTAGAAACATTTATTAGTAGATTTTTTCACATAAAAGAGGAACTTTTTTCAAAAGAGTTAAGCTGAGTTGTTAAAAAAGTCCTACATCTAAGTCTTTTCAAAATAACTCTTCTTAGATAATTATAGCAAATTTCTCACTTTTGGTAGGAGGAATTCATCTTCAGCATCACCATGATCCTTGAATGCTTTGCTTTTCTGGCCAGTAATGATTTCAAGGAGTACAATACCAAAACTGTAAATATCAACCTTCTCTGATAATTGACCATGAATTGCATATTCTGGTGCCGTGTATCCTCTAAAAAATACATAATATTTAAATGATATAATTGATATTATACTAGCTCAAATAGGGGCAAATAAATATTATCCAAACAAATCTCAAATAGAGTTGTGCAATGCAAATATTGGATCATTTTGACATACCTATGAATATTCTTTTTGCAAGTTCATGTTATGAAGACAAAATTGGAAAGGTTAGCATTATTTGTAGGTGTACTACTAGAAGAGTTGTTATTTTTTAAGCATAGATTTTATCAAAATGATAGACAACCTAGCTATGTAATATAATAGAAAGTTAAGGAAATTATAGAAATTTTTTCATTTTAACTTACAATGTTCCCACAAATTTTGTACTAAGATGAGATTTGTCCTCAGGTAAAAATCTTGCCAATCCAAAATCAGCAATTTTAGGTTGTAAATCATCATCTAAGAGAATGTTGTTGGTCTTTATATCTCTGTGTATGATACGGACTTGAAATTGCTCATGGAGATAAGTTAAGCCTCTTGCTATTCCCAAAATTATAGCGTATCGCTGCTCCCAGTTGAGATGACCTTTCTTTTCACCTATTTGCCAAGTTCACAAAATTGAAACATATTAAAAAGAATAGCGAGAGAAGAACAAGAGCGAAGCAAAAATGATTCTCAAAATATTACCACAGGGAATTGATGTGCGTGTATGTGTGCATTAAGTTATATATTAAAATGATGACATATGAGTAATGACCTGTTTGTTGAGTAAACGATTCACGAGTCATATATAGTGTTACTAATTAATTAAGAAGCATAACAAACAAATGCTTAATAAACTATATATAAGTTTTGTTAGTTGATGCAAGATACCAAATATGAATCTGTCCAAACTATTGTTCTTCATGTATTCATATACAAGGATTCTGTCACGGCCTTTACTACACCATCCCAAAAGTTGAATAAGATTCGGATGATGAGCATCACTGATAAGCATCACTTCACTCAAAAAATCTTCCTCTATCTTCTTGGAGTGGAGTAAAGTTAACTTCTTGACTGCAACCACTTTCCCATCCCTTAGAGTGCCCTATTCATGATGATTTAAAATTCCAATCAGGAAATAGTTATATAAGTTTTTCCTCTGTCCCATTGGAAATCTAACTTTAATTTTTACATTACATGAATCTCTCTTAAAAACATCATTCCTTTAGAACATGATCTACAATTATTAAAATACATGAGATCAAAATAAAGTTATGCACCTTATATACAGCACCAAATCCTCCTTCTCCTAGTTTAGTTTCTTCACTAAAATTCTGAGTTGCAAACTTCAAATCCTTATAATTGTAAGAAATCAGGCCTTTCAACATAGTTGCAATAGTAATGTCCCCTATATATTGATAAGAAGAACACTTGTCAAAGTATCTTCATAAACTGAAAGAACCAATTAGGGATCCATCCCTTCATGGAGATGAAAGTATGTTTACCTCTGTGAATTCTCTTCGAGTATTTTGATCGTCTAATACAGATAAATAATATCAGGAGGATCATAACAAGAGCAAATCCTCCAACAACTCCCCCGATAACGGCCCCCTTTTTACTTGAACCTACAAGACAAGACTAGATAACTCGTTTTCAAATAAGTCATAATTTTTGCATATTAAATGTTCCTCTAAAAAGTACAAAGAAATAACACATATCAATAACGTTTTATCGGTAAAAAAGAAACATGTGTCAATATCAATATTGGCACTTATATCGTTTTCAATGAGAAACAGGTAGTTTAAAAAATAAATGTTCACAACTAGATATCTTCACGATGAGCATAATAGATAATAATTATAAAAATTATGAAAGATTGTACTAATTCTTTCCAATATTGGATAAATGAAAAAATTCAAATGGAACCTAATAAAATAGTGGGAAAAGATTGAAAGAATAAAAAAGTTGCATGAACCCTTAGAGAATTCTCAATGTTTGCAATTCTGTGTAAATTTTATTTATAATAAAATCCCTTAATCGATGCTGGGGTTTTAGTACACAAGCAAATCAAATTGTCATGCTGCAATAATATTTGTTATATATATATATATATATATATATAAAAATCTTTGAAAGAGCCATACCTTGTTTGCCCAAGGAAGTAATATCAATGGGCTGGTAATAATGTGGAAAGAAGGAAGAGGTGGAGTATCTCATGAAACATCCATCAGCATAAGCCCTACCATCCGACTTGGGAAGACAAGTGGCCATAATATTGTCATATCCAGTGTTCAAGCAATTGAAACAGCCGTTTGGAGTGACAGTTTCAATACATTGAGCAAAGCCATAAACAGTTGTACCATTATTATCAGGCAATTCTATCTTTGTGGCTGCAAAAAACCCTTGCTTTTTGGGTGTTGTTGTTTGCAGATTCTTCAGCAGTTGTTGCACAAGTGAGGTAAATAATGTAATGGATTCTCCTACAGTTTGATTTCCACATGATACGGCATTGAAATCCTCCGTTGTCTTCCAAAAGAAGGCATTGGTCTCGTACCTCAATTAACAAAATGTATGCCATATAAATTTTCCAAGATTAGTAAGGGTTTATCTCATTTACATATCAAACTTATAAGATGATATTTTGTAAATGGATTGGGGGTGTGTTTGAATCAACTTTTGGAGAATAAGTCATAATTTTAACCAAAAGAAAAAAACTTTAGATCAAGTTTTTTATATTCATTATGTCATGGCTATGCGTTTTATTTTTAAAATATTATCATTTAATTAAAAAACAGGATACATTGTTATATATAATTGAAGACCTTGACATAAAAAATATGAGAAACTTAATATAGCTCCAGAAGAGACCTAAAATCACAAATCATATAAATTAAGCTGTTTATATACGATTAGTTCTATGAATAAGCACCAAGAGCTAGATAGGTGGCTACACTGATTGAAGGCTGCATTATTCTTTCAGCTATTTAAGTGGACTGTGGATTCAGAGAATGTAAGGAATTTTCTTTAATCTTTTAGTGGATCAGTTTAACTAATGTCCCTTCTCATGGGTACCAACCTTATGTAATGTAGATATTATGGGAGAATCTCACTCTAGTCATTTCTAAATGACTAGGATCGAAGGTAGGGGTAGATTTATTACAATAAAGCTGTGAATTCTAATAAGTTGGTTTGTAATTGGGGTTGATCAATTGACGAGTATATAAAAAAGTTTTTTTTTGGGCTCAAAACAACTTTTAATTTTATTATTATTTTAATGCAATTAAAATTTTGCTAATTAAAACAATTTTCTTATATAAGAAAATTTTCATGAAATCAAAATTTGGAAATTATTTATCATCAACTATAAATATTTATTTATCTTTGCATGCTGTCAGTGTTAACTTTAGTATCACACCTTCAACAAAAAATATATCTAAGTTATAATACAAGATTTAGTTTCTAATTCAATTTCAACTACAAATTAAATACTATACTAAAAATGGGAAGTAATAACTAAAATTTATTTTCTTTATTTTCTCTACTATTTAATTAGCATATATCAATGTAAACCACACAAACCACTCCCTCGGTTATCAAAATGAATAAATATCTTATCTATATGACTATATCCACCCCCCCCCCAAAAAAAAAAACCATCTCCACATAGGAAGGTCAAACTGGAGCTTAATTTCTATTCAAAATAGGAAGGTCAAACTGGAGCTTATTTGCGGACGACTTGTACCTGAGGAAGCAGCCATCGAAGACAACGCCGGCACCTTGTGCCGCCGGAGGACACTTACGGACTTGCCGGGCTGCGACGTCGAAGCAGGCGACACAGTCGGGAATGGAGATATAGTTTCTACACTGAAAAAGTGTGAAACAGGGTTTTCTGCGTTGGCTTTCCTTGCCGTCGCCAAGTACTTGTTCTCAGAGACGATATTCTCTTTGATCTCTCGAAACGTTGCGTTTACGTTTTCATGGAAGATGGATAAGTTGGGCAAGACGTCTTGGTTGGCAGATGGTGTGCAGCGGGTGTATATAAGAGTGGTCTGTGGATCCGAAACGACGCCGTCAAGTATCCACCATGACCAGAATATGGAGATTACAGAAAGGAAAATAGGTTGAAGAAGCATGTTTTATGTCTATATGCGTGTGTGTAGAGGTTGGCTGCAGGTGGACAGAATAATGAAGAGGAAGAAGGAAAGAGAGGTCAAGTTGGATCTGGCGATGTATGAACTATATGAGAGATTAGAGATTGGTGTTTGAAGAGGAGAATGATATCACAGAATTAATGAGGAAGAAGAAACTGATACATTTAAGGGAAATCGAAGATAGCCATGTGGCTTAAGATCAGAGGCATCTGATCAGCTGTTTCAACACATTTGGTCATCGTTTTCTTTCCCTCAGTTTCCTCCTATTTCGTAAAATCATCCGTAACGTGGGGTTATTGTACACAGTAAATTATACAGTTTCCCCCTCACTTTAATTTGATTTTGATGTCTGATCTTTTAACACCCACACACACATATAGTGATAAAGGATGGTGATTGATCAGTGGGCGTCGTCGCTGGTCCCAATGGGGCAAATGGTGACCATTCCAAAGGAAAGAACAAGGGAAGAAACCAAGTTTCACCGCCTCTCACCAAAATGTGTTGACGGGTGTTCCCATGGCTTGTGCAGTAATATACGAATTTTGGAGTCAATTGAAAAATGAAGTCATCACGTGATACTGGGGTCCGTCGTCATAATGTGGGCCGGGGTTGACGTCGGGCCCCTGGAAGGATACTGTATCCCTTTTTTTTGGGCCGACGAGGATATTGGATTTTTTTTTCAAAGCATAAATAATTCTCTTTGAAGCATTGTCAGGAATTAAATATAGGTATTTTTTCTAGTGGGGATTTGAATATTAAAAATATTACTTCTTTTTTATTAATGAAGAGTGAAATATTAATATATAACAAAAATATTTACTTATCTATTTTATTAATTCAACTAAATAATTAGTTATCACTTTCTTAAAATGAGCTAATAAAAAGAATTTTCGGCACTCAACCTTTATATTCTCAGTTGATATTCTCTGACATCTATCAGATTTCCATTTTCACTCTTAACGTGACCATCAAGACAAAAACAAGCATGTAAATTCACTAAAATGGTCATAGTAGAAAACTTGAAAAAAAAAATCCAAAAAGTGATTGTTGAATTTTAAAATTTTAAATCAATATTAGTTACTACACTCGTAAAAAAAAAAAACTACATTTGAAAAGTAAATAACAATTCATTTTTGTAGTAATTCCTAATTTGAAATTTTAAAATTCAACCGTTGTTTTTTTGGGATTTTTCCAAACTTTAACTTCATTAATTAAAAATGAAATTAAATTGGAATTTTGGTATCACTTTTAAAATTTAAAGAACAATGAAAGATTAATATATGATTCGCTAAAAATTGTACATTGTAATTCACACATGTTAGAATAGGGAATGAAGGGCATTCATTTTCTATTTTCTCCTCCTTTCATGTTATTGCTTTTTCCACTTTTTGATTCAAAACTCGAAGTCACTCATAATTACACATCCCTGAAAAATCCTGTTACTATGCTGACGGTATAGAACTCAGGGTTGGACGTAGAGGAAGAGAAAGTGGTAGAGGTTTCTCCATGCGCTTTTAGTTAGTTTCAATCAAGATAGGCATAGTTGGTCTTGTGTTCTCTAATAAGCCCTTGTTTTGCAACAAAACAACAACTTCAGACATTGTTGGCCTTATTGTAGGAGACGCTTGAGTGCAGAGCAAACCAATTTCTATGATTTTCTTCACTTCTTCTGCATCATACTCGTTAGAGTCTAAGGCACTATCCACCGACTCTAAGTGCATGCCTCTCTGATATAGTTTCCACGCCTAATAAGTGGGATTCAGATGAAATGCAAAGATATCGGGTTAGAAAAGGCAATGTGAAACCTATGTTACTTGTTGTAAGAAAAAGGTAATATAAAACTTAGGACGCTGAATGCATTATAAATTAAAGTGCTGAATGTTATTGTAAAAAAGATAAAATTAGGGTGCTAGATGAAACTTCAAAAAAAAACATCAAGGTGTTGAATTACTAAAAAAAATAAAATCATCGGTAAAATTGTACCATTTAAAAGATCAAAGTGTTGGGTATACATAAGAAATGGTAAAATTGCACATTTACTCTTATTAAAATTGTGCTTTGTCTAAATTTGTGTGTAAAAATATAGTTTAAAGGACATTTTTGCCCTTAAATTAATATTCAAGGGCGTTGAATATTTTAACTTATCAAGTGCAATAATGTTTCCCCTCCATTAAAATTACAAATAGGTACTGCATGAAAAAAATTACTACCAATCAGGTCCCAAAAATTACAATAAATCGAAATTTTTTTGGGACTCACTTGGTATTCATTTTTTGTAGGGTATGTATTTGTAATTTTACAAAAATTACAAAGAATAATTTGGAAGTAAAAAATTAACTCTAAAAATAATTGCCCATGTAAATTGATATACAAATTTTGTTACCTTCTGAAGGAGGAATTCGCCCTCTGCATCACCATCAACTCTTAATTCTTCACTTTTTCTAACACTTATAATTTCCAAAACTACAACGCCATAGCTATATATATCAACTTTCTCTGATAATTGGCTATGTATTACATACTCAGATGCAGTATAACCTTTGAGAAATGCATAACATTTTTAAATTGATCAAAATAATGGCTCAAACACAAACATGTTAGCAATATCTGAAATATATATATATATATATGCAACAGAAAGAATTGCAACAAATTTTCATGCTATATACATGGAAGAAAAATAATCGATTAAACTATTTATAGGTGTTAGAGGGTGTTCTATAGACTAATATATATATTGTTTCAATAATTCTTTCGGTGACTTCCAGCTCTGATTCCTGTATATATAATACAAGGTATAAAATGCAAGCATTACAACTTACAATGTTCCTGCAAAATTTGCGTTGAGATGAGATTTGCCCTCTGATAAAAACCTTGCCAATCCAAAATCGGCAATTCTAGGTTGCATGTCATCATCTAGGAGGATGTTGTTAGTTTTTATGTCTCTATGTATGATACAAATATGAAATTCCTCGTGTAGATAAGCTAATCTCCTTGCTGTTCCTAAAATTATATCATATCGTTGTTTCCAGCTGAGAGGACCTTTCTTTTTACCTGGTACAAGTTTAAATTAAAAATAATAATAAAACACAATTACAATAATAAATATTTCATCATTCAATGTGATTTATTATAATAATATTTATTATAACCATATTTATTGAATATAAATATATTTAAAAAGTTCACATATACTCACACATATATTTATTATAATAATATTTATTAAATATAAAAATATAATATATTTATTTTTTTGTTATAACCGAAATTTTTTTTACTAACCAACCGAACATCAAAACTGAATTGTTAAAAAAAATAAAAACCAAATATATAACCAAAAACCGAAATAACTGAACCAAAAAATCGAAATTGAATTTGGTTTGGTTCAGTTTAGTTTTCAGTTACGGTTCGGTTTTGCTTACTCCTAGATAATAGAAGGGTTGAGCTCCACCGAACGAGTCTTTGGACATCTATTCGTATGGCCACTATTACAGGGAATTGGCCATGGCAGTGTTGATGCATGCAGCGTGAAGATGAATTTTCCTCTTATTACATTTTGTTATATGGGTCCATATTTTGTATGATGATATTTAAAG